TGTGCTGCCATTCATGCTGAAATGCATCAAGAAGCGCCGGAAGTGTTTGGGGCGGTGGATTCCTTCTGTGAACGCGTCGATCCAACTCGTCCCACAGATGCTCAATCGGGGCAAATCTGGTGACTGGGCTGGCCAAGGTAATGTCTGGATGTTGTTGTGCTGTAAGAAGTCCTGACAAACACGTGCAATATGCGGTCGAGCGTTGTCCTGCTGGAACTGTCCGCCATGAACGTTGACATGAGGAAGAGCGTAAGGCTGTAGGATCAAGTCTCTGTAACGCACACCTGTCAATGCACCTGCCACATGCACAAGAGGCTTCCTACCACCGTGATGAATTCCGGCCCATACCATGACACTCCTGCCGCCAAATGGGACAACCTGCTGCACACAGTTGGGGGCGTAACGTTCACTCCGACGTCTGTAGACACGTGCGCGCCCATCAGCACGTGTGAGTAGGAAACGGGACTCGTCAGTAAACAGTACATTTCTCCACCTTGCACGTGCCCATCTAACCCTCTGTTGGCACCAAAGCAGACAGTCCGCCAGATGACGTGTGGTCAATACATGACGTCGAACAGGTCTTCCTGCAAAAAGTCCAGCCTCCCTCAGTCTGTTGTGTACCGTTTGATCTGATATTCTGCGTACCCCAGGGATCTGTGTGGTTGTAGATGTGGCTGTGGTAGTGCGGTCTCGGAGGTGTCGCAGCCGTATGTATCGATCTTGTGCTTGGGTTGTCACCCATGGTCTTCCTGACCTTTGTCTGTCATCAACTCTGTTGGTGTTGTTATATCGGGTCCACAGTGCGGAGATTGTCTGTCTGGATACGCCAAAGTGCCTGGCCACTTCTTGCTGAGTTGCTCCAGCTTGTAATCTCCCAATGGCGTTGTTCCGTTGAGCTGCATTCAGTCTTGGCTTTCTGTCACCGCCTCTACTGTTGTTATAAGGACTGTATGAACGGCCGTTGATGTGGATTTTTATACCCACAAGTATACAATAGCTTTACAATAAAGATAATGTATGTATATGATTTATCACATACACATGAACTTTAAACGCCCTTCTTTTGGAAACATGAAATTTGGAGATATCTTGTTTTGCCTCTAAGCCATCAACAAGTCCAGATATACAATGAGCACTCTTTTTAACCCGATAGTGTAAAACAGGATTAACATGCATACTTTGGCAAATGCCTCCTGCCTCACATTTTTCAAAATTGGATGAGAATCTGGTAATTAATTTGTTATGGCCTTGTCTACAACAAAATTTAATAGAAACAAGGAAGAAATCATCATTTTAAAACAAATATATTATGGTAAAGTTGATCAGACATTTCTTTTGTATTTAAAGGGGCACTGATCTAACGCAATTCCCCGGACTGGTTGTTGCCTTTGTTATTGTTTTTTTCCCCGTGAGTACCCGGATGATAGGCAACGCAACTGAGCGTGACCAGAGACTGGGCTACCGTCTGCAAGGACAGCTAAATAAACTTGGAGGCTGGAGGCAATATTTGTTTTACGCATTTTGCATAAACACTGATTGGTTAACTGAGATCTATAAAGATTCTGACTAAGGGCGCATGTTAAATAATTTCTTCAGCCTAAAAAAAGAGACAAAAAGAACAGCGGAGCTCATCGGATGTCGTCATTTGGAAATACCCCAGATGGTTATAGTTTAATACTTTAAAAAAGTATCCATGCAGTGAAAGCATTTTCGGATTTCGGATTGTGTCGATAATACGATTACTACTCCCGTGTTGTCATCCACGTTTTCTCGTATAACCCTACACTTGTGTATTTTCGTCATTCACTTGATGCTCAGTTAATGAATTTATTACAGGTACAATTAGTGGTAGCACCACTTAGATTACCTGACAAAGGTTCCCATTTGGCATTTATTGTGTCTGGGGTAATTATTCAATCTAAATCCAGGTTTGAAGAGAGGTGAAATGTGTCTTATGTAATATGCACGTGGCAGCCCAGCAAGAGATGAATGATCAGTTGATTTACTTTTTTTTGTAAATCAACGGATCGTTCCTAGCCATCAAAAGATTAACAGAAAATACGTTGATTGATTAATCACTGTTATCTTGCACAGTGGATATGTCAAAAGTGAGTGTTTACATGTCTAGGTTTACTAAAACAAAGGGAAAACACTCATATCATGGCGTGAAGTGCCGATGTAAAAACAACATACTTTGTTCAAAGGGTTAACTGATAATACGTTGATTGATTGATCATTGTTATCTATCACTCAATGGATTTTTTAGGAACCGTGGACGTTATGAAAATAGTTGTCACGTGGGCTTTCTCAGCCGACCTTTGAGATTTGACACCTATGTGAAACACCTGAAACAATCCAAGTGATCAGTTGAGAAACGAATACGGGTTTTAATATCCCGAAACGATATATATCTTTTAAAATATTTGATTGTTACAGAGACACGTGAAATCGAATAAGTTTCTTTGTACAGCTGCAGACGTGTGGGATATTGTTCCTTTGTGTGGATATTCACGGATACATTCCTCGAACAAGGAAGCTGCCTAAAATTTATACACATAAATTTGGTAGGTTGTAATTATGGTATTTGCATTTTGTTTTCCTTCATTTGAACCGATTCTTGGTTGGGAAATTCTTCAATGCGCGATAGGCGTTGTTTTCACAGGCCTTTTCCTTTGTAAGCGTGTATATATTACCGTCAATTTGTAAAATGTGATTCTCTCAGGCAATTTATAAAATGTGTAAATATTTCAGTCATTTTGACTAAATAAAAAATCTGTCCATATTAATTAAGACGATCAAAAGGGCCTACAAACATCACAACAGATTATTATGTAGGATTAGAAGCCAAACAACATAGAAATGTACTTTTCAACGTAACATTTTCAGTCACTTGGTGATGACATTAAACATCAAAATGTTTGGAATTCGTTATCATAATATATACAGATTGAAATGTTTTTCTGCCACTTTGTAAAATAACTGAATATTTAGACGTTTAATAAATTTGTTACACATTTTGACAGTAAAAAAATATACACACTATAAAAAAAAGCAATGCTCAGGTGAAATATTTACTTTTTGTTGCAAGTCAAAATAGTGTAAACGAAAATCGCAAAATTACCACGCAAGTGACTTATCAAAACTTCGTCACCATTACCAATGCTACCCACAAAGATACCTACATATCCTTATTATTTCGAAAACTGGATTTCATTTTGTTGATCAATGTGACCATACGCCCTTATATTACTACCCATAAAAGTGACTAATGCGCTTACGAATGGCGCAGCAGAGGTCGCGAACTAGTCTAGATTTCTGCATCCGGGTACTCACTGGGAAAAAACAATAACAAAGGCAACAACCAGTCCCGGGGAATTGCGTTAGATCAGTGCCCCTTTAAACCGAAACAATTTTCTTCACTGGTATCCTAATTAGTTCAGGTTAATTTTTTTCCATTACTTTCAAAATGAATAAGTTATTTGATGAAATTTATCGGTTGTTTAGTAGAGAAAGTAGTCCAAACATTAAAAATCTACTTTTAGTTTATTAAAACAATGTTTAACCAACATACATATACCGTAAGATGTAGGGTAATGAAGTGTGGTTGACACAAAGTAATGAGGTAATAACTTTAGTGATACTTTCTGATGGACGTCCTTCACAAAACAACCAGTAATTTACGAAAAACATTATGCCACCACAAAGAAACATAATAAGTCTTCTGATGGACTACAGTAACTAAGGACTTTATCTCTTATTAGGTGGAGTAATTTGTACTGGTAAATGGATAAATTGTGAATTTCTCGCGGGACTCACATGTAAATCTCTGAATCTCGCACAATCTCTTGGGAATGTACTGCTTGGTCTTGCGCAGCTGTGATCGGTCCCCGTCTAACCCCGAGGCCTCAGTATATGGTCTCTGTTCACATGGACACAGCTTCTTCACTGGACGTCAGCTGAACTCAAAACATAGGAAATCCATAAATTTTTCATGAGTCTATGTTCTTGAAATGATCACTGTCAGACTAATTTAACTTTTGTGGGAATATATTTTCCTAGCATGAATAAATCAGATATTTTTTAGGCTGTTCATTTATGCCAATTTTGTAGTTTTTCACACATTTAAGTCCGAGTGTTTGCTTGCATATATGTGATACCCTACTTGCTTCACTACAGTGTATAGCCTAGCGGATAAGTGAAGGACAAAACACAACTTTTTTGGTTGTGAAAAATGACCAGGGAAAAGTCTGAGGGCAGGCCCAATGGCTTTTCCCGAGCTCGAGGTTGTACATTTTCAACCAAAGCTGAGAAGTGTTTTGTCGGACTTATGAACTGTCTAAATATATGAAATACCAGACAAAATAAACAAACATTGGGATACCTTATAGTGAAACAATACAGCAATACAGTGTTGGGGTATAAAATTAATTTGTTCAAAGGGTACAAGAGAAAGACCATGTGCAGTATGCACAGAACTGAAGCCATAACATGTAAAAGTGTACAACCATTTATCACCTGCCCCGGTGGCTCAGATGGAAAACGGTGGGTTACAAAGCATTTAACTTAACAAAATGTGAGGTTGCAGATTCAATTCATGTTGATAAAAGCCTTTTAACCAATCAAACATCAACATTAGATTCTTATAAAAAGACCATATCAATTGTACAAACCTAGGGCTTACAATTCAAATGTAAAACCTCAAAGCAGGTCATACAATTAAAAAATGTGAAACCTAGGCCTTACATTTCAAAATGTAAAGCCTTTGAGCATGCAAGACTCACTTGAAAGTAGTACCTCTCACAAGGTTAATATGTGGTAGTAAGATACCAACAATACAATAGGCAAAAGTGGCAGTATGTTTATAAACAAGTTTCTTGTCACTAATGGGTTCAATGTATAGATTTTTATTCTTGTTTGAACAATGCAAAGTAGTTTTGTTTACCCATTTCTTTCAAAGTGTGCACAGATGTGTTTAATATCAACTTGATGTTTATTTTCAGTGAAGAAGTATTCTCCAACTACCGTCATCGGAAGATAGTTGCAGCCAGCTTGCCGCATCCTGGTGATATAGTAGAGGCTGGACCCCTAGCTGTAAGCTACACAACATACCACATCTCAATTGGATCATTTTAGTCATTTGTGTACAACTATCCAGTATTAGTCCAGCCGCTTGCGACCAATACAGGGTCAATTGTGCACTTTGTGTAGATGAAACTTGGCATGATGATAGGTATGGGTGTTCCCATTATTTCTGGTTATGGTGCCAATTAAAAAATTGGACACAAGGTTTAGGTCTTATTTTCTTGAAATATGTATATCTTTCAAAGTTACTTGATAAAATACATTACGTTTAAATATATTAGTTTTTTTTAATACTTTTAATATTTGTTTAATGAGTAAAGTTATAAACTTATCCTATATCTCACACTATGCATTTCTTCCTTCTTCTTTTGATCCTATATGGAAACAGACCCGTGAAGATCCGGGGTAGATTGTCTTCAGCAACCCATGCTTGCCATAAATTGTGACTATGCCTGTCGTAAAAGGCGACTGACGGGCTTGCTGACTTTGTTTGATGCATGTCATCGTATACCAATTGCGTGGATCGAAGCTCATTTTTTTACAGACCGCCGTCATATAGCTGGAATATTGCTAAGTGCAGCGTTAAACAACAACCACCAAACAAACTATGTGGAAACGAGCTTGAACAAAGTTTCCAGCTTCTAATAAACAATTCACCCGAACACATCCCAGCATTACCATGGTTATCACCCAAACTAATGGGTCATGCACTATAATCCTACATGATATGATCCTATTATTGTCTCTGCCACATCATTCTCTCTCATTGCCACTAAGGGTGAAAAGATACACCGATATTCCGATGCATCGCGATACTTGACCCACGATACGATATACGATAAACGTGGGCCCATTTATCGATACGCCACGATACGGAACGCAAATCTCAAGTACAGCGTTTCCTCGCTATTGTGCCTTTTAATAAACCGCTAACTTGGTTATAGCGCGTGGTAACGCATGGCTCCCTAAAAAGTACTTACATTTTTAGTAAGCTCAGGTTTTACACCGACAGATGTTTTTCCCCATCTCAAAAAACATTATCAGCTGATCCCCGCAAGCACATAACACCGGAAATACCTGTCAGCAAATCCGAGCTGAAGTACGCAATTCAATACCATTATTATACTATCTTGTAATTAAAACGTGTTCATTATATATCTGGACTTGTGTTTGTAATATATTTTATTAATTTTATTCAAAATTTCATTTAATATTGTTTTCATTAAGTTATATTATGTGAAATCGTGTGTGAAGAGATACAGCAACCAATATCAGATTACCGCTTTTGACACATTGAAACGAACTTTAGTTGCTAGAGAATAGATACATATATTAAAAATGACATACTTTGACTCGTTAAAAGTCATATTTGTGGCAATTTGGCGAATATGTGTCAACATAACGTTTTCGCAATCGAAATACATGTAGCACGGGAAGTCCCTAGGGTGACTGGTCAAATTGTTCCATACGTAAAAATATCCTGCAACAGCAATCACCAGTACCAAAATGCTACACTTGTGGTTCTTATAATGCAACTAAGGTAACACGATATTGGAATATATTATTCCTGATAAAACAATAATTTCGGATACAATTTCTTCGAACATTGTATCTAAATTCTTTGAAGTTGTATCACTGGTGGAGTACATTAATTTTTTTCTGGTGTTTGAACTTTGAATTGTTTTTAAGGAAAATTAGAGAAAGTTCCACTTTGAAGGTGAAAAACTTCAGTAGTCTTGTTATTATAAAATAATGTTGACTGTTCCAAAATCTTGAAAGGTTCAATCTTGACATGCTTTAAATCTTGTTTTATTTATCATTGCGTATCGAGATACGTATCGTATCGTGACCAGAATATCGAGATGCGTATCCTATTGTGACCTTCCTGTATCGTTGCAGCCCTAATTGCCACAAAGTGGAGATGTGCACTGAAATTTGAGAGAATCTAGTGTGTTTTTTTTTGTGGGATTCCCTTCAACATCTTCTAGTTTATGTACATCATTTGAGGGATGTTTGCTTGTCAGAAATGTTGCCATAATTTTTCTAACACTGACCTTCACAAAGCACTTTCGGATTCTGCCTTGCACACGCTCTCGGTAGCCGATGACGGAGTATCAGATAGCTTACTGACCCTATTGTCTCAGATCAAGAACAGTCCATCCGTGTAATGTCGGCTCTACGTCTACATCGAAACCGCCAGCTGACTTGGGAAGGTGCTTTCCACAGTCGCTTCAGCCTGACCTGCCTCGACTAAGACATTGATCAACCCCAAAAGCACTCCTAGACTGTCTGCAACTTGTCAACTCTCACATCCCGCTCCTTCCCTCTCTGTTCAAGTTGATGTTGATCACTGCTCTACTTTAGGTCGCTCCCCATCTTCCACTTCTACGGATCGCAGCCATCAACAAGATTGTACCAGTTTCTCTGGTTGACTCATTCTCTCTTTGTGAACTGCATCCAAGACATTGACGAGGATGTCGGTAGATCTCCTTCAGCTGCCGAGGCAGCACTTGGAAGAAAAGCAGCATAAGAATGACGATGCCCCCAGTTTTTGCCTGCCCATCGTGACCTTCATGAAGTCATAAGCGGGAAGTCCAGTTCTTTTCACCGGCTCGTGCAAGGAAATTGTGAATCCAAGTCCTCTTTCGGACATTCCATCTCATTCCCCGGGTCGCAATGACATAGACAAGTCTGCCAGGACAACTGACTCATCTTCCAAGTTACTTGCTTCAGTTTTGGGATGACTGGGAACTTCCACCTCCAGGGTTTTACTCTGGCTTTCCTCCCGAATTAAGATGACATGCCGGAATAGAACTGGAATACTGTTCAAAGCCGTGTTAAACCACTCACTCACTCACTCACTCACTCACTCACTCACTCACTCACTCACTCACTCACTCACTCAACTCACTCAACTCACTCACTCACTCACTCACTCAAGTCCAGAGTTATGATTCCCTGCCAATCCATCTGCATCCACATCTTCAGTGATGGCTAGTAACATCAAATGTTTGCACGGGGTCTCTTTGCGGCCTTTCTTCGACTGTGGGTTGGTCCATCAAAGACAAGCGACTCCATGTCAACAACCTCAAGTTCAAAGTGGTCATTCTGGCAGTGTCCCATTTGGCAGAGCTCCTTCGTTTGTCGCATCTCATGATCCAATCGTACAACAATTTGGTTGTCTTGTATATCAACAAGATTGGCTGAACCAAGTCGATGTTGCTTTTGTCGCACTAGATTGACATCTTATGTCTGATTGACTCCCTCAACATTCAGGTTTGAACAAGACACATTCTTGGGTTGTGCAACATTATAGTCGACTCCCTATCCTGACCGTTTCAACTGATCGATCTTCCGGTGGATCTACCAACTTTAGCCATATCTAGACTTTTTTTAAACCTGGTTCAGTGGTCATCTATCCCCGTTTGTCTCTCCCATTCCACATACTCAAATCTGGGACGACGATGCTTTACTAATCTCGTGAGTAGGCCTCAACGTCTACACCTTTCTCCTGACCGGTGTTCTACCACATGTATCCTGCAGGAAGTGGAGTCCACCTATCTCCTGAGTCTGCTTTTGGTCGCTCCCTTATCCTCCAACTCGGGTTTGGTTCACCAACTCGCAGAAAAAGGTTCCACCGTCTTCCACCACTGGAAGACCTTCTCCTTCAGCCTCACACCCACATGCTCCACCCGTCGTCAAAAACCGTCGTCTTTGTGTTTGGCACATATACAGAGGTCACTTGTCACCAAAGGGTTTTCCAAGAGTAAACATCAAGGAAGCTCACCTTTGCTGTTAGGGTCTACTTTGACTACTTATCTTGTTGCGATCAACTCAGTCGTTGCAACTACAACTTGATCAAAGATATCTTATTCCAAGAGTAATCGGAGTACATGTTTGGTCCACTACCACAACTTCTCGTGAGGGAGATCTCTGCTGTAGGTCACATGTCTCAAAGACAGCAACCAGTTTTTGTGAGAATCCGTCAGACAGAACTTGTGAACTTTGGATTGTTAGCCCGATAACTAACTGACTGAGCTACGTCCACACTGTAAAAATATATGCAAATTTACCTTGTCATGCCTACGACGTTACGGAACTGAACAAAAATGGTCAAATAAGTGTCAGACACTTAAGGTTACAGGTAGGCATGGTGTCTCGTGACTATAGTCTGCTGACACTTACGAGCGATCCCGATGGCATTTGGCACACTCGTCCCATTCTGTAATCTACAAGATACAGAGTGGTGAGGAATGAGCTGATATGGTTCGAACTGAAAACGGCTCCAGGCATCAGACGCCAGGTGTCGAACTCGCTGGTACGCATGAATGACATGGTATTTCATAATTTGTCGAGTGATTTTTGTGACAAAAACGTGTGGTAGGGAACACTGTAAGGATAATGTGGATGATACTAAGGAATGAGGGAGGCATAAGCATAGCTTGTGATGAGTTCACTTTTGAGTCAGTTTTGAACAAATGTAGCAGGTGAAAGTGGCTTGTGTTAATGTTTCAGGACAATTTCCAGTAGACAAAATATTAGTCACAAAACCATTTCACCCTACTTTTTTTACTTTTTTGTGTGAAAAATATTAGGAGCCGCTACAGAATCTATAATAGCCACTAAACGGGTACCCAACCCTAATGATTGTAAAGGGGTGATTGATTGTAAAGGGGATCCAAGGGGTAAGGATAGAGTTCGGGGTAACCTACCCTAAAACCAGCGACATTTGGATGTGTTCAGCACCAATATAATATATAAAAGTTTGTGGTACTGTGTTCTAAAGGTAGGCCGAGTAACCACCACAGATGCTTACTGTTCCTCTACTAAGACCCTCTATGATCACAAGTGGAAAGCATTTGAAGCATACTGTCATGCTCGTGATATCTCCAAGACCACCACCTCTTCTCTGCAACAAATCGCTGATTACGTCCTTCATTTACGATCTACAAGAAAACTTAAAGGGTCTTCTTTGGCTACTTATCTTGCTGCGATCAACTCAGTCATTG